TTGCAGAAGCCAGAACCAATTTACACCGCAAGAGTGCAACTGGTTCTGTCCATAAAGCAGTAGCTGCCATTTTTCATTTTGTCCATGAAAGAAGCCTACCTCATGCTTTGGAGAAGGGAAAAAGGGACAAAGTTTGGGAGAGAGGGACCAGCCCTGTCACCCACGCACCAAGCCTCTCTTTGCTGTGCTGACGCAGGTGGCAGTGGGTGAGGAAGCGTTTTTGGTGGGTCTCAGGCAGGGGATGAATCTGTTGTGCCGTTGATTTCAGGATAGAAGGCTCACCAGGGTGAACACGAGCAGTCCGCTCAGCCAAACGACCCGGCCCTCCACGGCCATTTGCTCACTCTGCTTTCTGGCATGTTCCTGCAACATTTTTCTGAGCCGGAGGCCAGAATTTCTCAAGCACCTAAAATCATGCACTGTAATCAACCTGGCTTGATTGTAATTGCCCAGTTTATAACACCAGACCTGCACGCTATAGTTGTTCAGCCCTCCGGTAACAAAGGTCCTCAGAGAGGAGCGGTGACTCAGCACACCGCTGCCCCATTTGGCACAAGCCAAGCCTGGATTCCCTCCAACGGAGGGGATTCGTGCTCTGACTCGTGCTCAGCAAATAACTCAGTGCTCTCACCCCACTTTCCCCACCTTTTCCCTGGGACCACGCTGAGCATACGGCCGTGTACCCACATGCTTACAAAGAGGACTTGTTGCAGAGCTCCATCCCAACAGCCCCATGCCCGTCTTTCACAGGGGCACAGATGTAGCCCTGGGCTTCTAGCGCACATCTTCTGCCTTTCTCTCAAACCAAGTGTCCGCAGTGGACAGCACGATTTGGGACTCCAGCCTAGTAGTACCTCAGTTTACAATCAACACAACAGGGGACAAAAGTATCTCTGTGTCTCATAGAGATGGAATTATAATTAATTCCAGAGGATTCCTAAGTGCACAGATAATTCGGTCTTTAGGAGTATCTAGCATACTGTAGCTACAACCTTGAAGCACTATTTGGAAACCTGAACAGGAAGAAAAGCCCCACGTGGATATTTCCCCAGGAGTGCAGAACAACGTGTTTCTGCAGGAGGAAGACAGAGAAGGCTGTGCCACCGCCCTCCTCGTGGGCACTTGGTATCTTTGCCCCTTGATCCGGCTGTGAAGGATGTGACAGGGGTGTGGTGAAGGATCTCAGAGCTGAGGCCAGTTCTGAAGGGGACGTCCCACAGTCTGGGTTTTGCACGTTTACAGAGAACACTCAGACATACCAGTGGTGGGGCTGGGAGGTCACTGCGTAGCCCCTAGGCTGTGCCAGGTATGATTTCTACCCCAGCTAGCGTGTAAGCCTCACGTTTCCGGTTGGTTCGAATGCAACCCAGGTCAGCTGTGCTTTGGCCTCTGGGGCAGCAACAGCATCCTGAATACACCACGTGTCTCCATCTTGTATTGTGCTGATTTAGAGATCAGCAAGTTTCTGCTACCCATTTTCAGGGACCAGAAATGCCTGTGTCCATGCTTCTATGTACTGTGTTCAGTTTAAGGCCCCTGACTACAGGAAGGACATTGAGGCCCTGGAGCGTGTCCAGAGAAGGGCAACAAAGCTGGCAAGGGGTTTGGAGCACAAGTCTTAAGGGGAGCAGCTGAGGGAACAGGGATCGCTCAGTCTGAAGAAGAGGAGGCTCAGGGGAGACTTCATAGCTCTCTACAAGTGCCTGAAGGGGGGTTGTGGTGAGGTGGGGGTTGGCCTCTTCTCCCATGTAAGTGGCAACAGGACTAGAGGGAATGGCCTCAAGTTGCACCAGGGGAGATTCAGGTTGGACATTAGGAAATACTTCTCCAAGAGAGTGGTCAGGCACTGGAACGGGCTGTCCAGGGAGGAGGTGGAGTCACCGACCCTGAGACATTGAAGAAACACTTAAATGTTGTACTGAGGGACGTGGTTTAATGGGAAATACAAGTGGTGGGTGGATGGTTGGACTGGAGGATCTTGTAGGTCTTTTCCAACCTTGGTCATTCTACGAATGTATAATTCCACCTAAACCCTACTACTGGCAGAGAGCGTATCTCTACTCCCCTCTGGTGCCTCCTGCCCAGAGGCAGGGCTGGACCTTGTCTCCTCACCACAGCTAACGCTCCACATATGTGAAAAGGCAAGGCCAATCTGCTTGGTGCTGGGAAAAAAATGAACCAGGGGAGTGAACTCATCTCTAATCGCATTGCCTGAACTTCTAAAGCTCTTAGAGCCAAAGCATGACATCATCCTAATGTGACATGATGATAAAATAAACAATGCAGAAAAATGAACAGATAACTCTGAGAAATTACTTACAGCCATGTTCTCAGTGCTGGACTTGAGGATTTGGAGGTTGACTCCATTGCTCCACTAGAAGCAAGCAATGCAGGACATAGTAAAGATGGTTGTGGTTTGAGGCCAAAAATGAAAAGATGAGACCCAACACAGCCAGCACTGTGAAACTGGAGATGAACAGATAAATAATGTTGTTCTTCATTTGGATAATCATGGTAAGCTGAGCCCAAGTTGCTCATCCTTGGTGCTACCCAAGGCCCCACCTGTGAGCACCTGACCAAAGCCATTATGCTCTTAACAGACAAAGCAAAGGGCTGGCAAAATCTTATACTGAGAACCAGCACATTGTAGGCTGGAAACATCTCAGACAATTAAAAAAAAGCTTGCTCAAAACCCATTTGCATCCACCTTTGTAAGTCAGTGCCACGGGATCATTGCCGCTTGTTGTCTCAGAGAGGGAAAGATGACGTTTTAGATCCCATGCAATGACACTGGAAAATGAGTTTTATCCGTAACAAATGCTGATTTTATCAGTAAATTAGGTATATGTTTTGCTTTCTCTGATACGGCAATAGGAGTCTGCAGTAAAACCCGCCCTCTTTCACCTGTCCTTGCTCCCTCAGGCTCATACGTGTTTTAATAGGTCTCAAACGAGCAGCAAAATACACAACCGCATGGTTTAATGGCTTCTGCACTGCTACAGAAATACTTGCACAGAAGTGTAGCTGGAAAGCTGCTTGTTTCACAGCTGGCTAAATCAGCGCTGCGTCATCCTGACCTTGCATTTGTTGCACAGCTGAAGAACGAGGCTCCACAGAGCTGCAGGGGCTGCTCCTGAGGGGGAACGCCGGCCGCCCCATTCAGCTGGCTGCCCCCTGGCACTGAGCAGGCCTGGCGGCGGGCCCACAGCCTGTAGGGCCACCAGCGGCGAGCCGGGCAGGGCAGCAGGAGAGGAGCAATGCAGGGGTACCAGCAGTGCTGGCTTGAGGCTCACCCAGGGACCCTTCAGCCACAGCCAGGCCTAGGTTTGTAGGCCTATGGATGAGAAACAGTGCTGCTGGTTGTGGCTGGGGGATGAAGGCCCATCAGTGCTCTCCAGAACCAACTCTCTGGTTTGACTTCAGTTGGTTTTTTTCTTTTTTTTCTTTTTTTTTTTTTTTTTTTTTTGGCTTGTATTTTCTTCTATCTTGCACTGAGGCTCCCCACCACCTCTCCCTCTCCATCCTCTGAACTCTCACATTTCCTTCCATCAAAGGCACGGCCAGCTGTAAAAACAATATCCTGGCACAGACAAAACAGTTACCCACAGCACGGCATGCAAACACCTCAGCAAAGCAAAGCAGCATTATGTACAGCTTAAGAGCTCTGAAACAGACTTCATTTTGCTGAAGGGCTGAGGGCATTTCCCAGTTCTCAGGTGGCAGCAGCAGTAACCCGGTGTATCCCTACAGGCAGCCTGTGACTGAAGGAGCTCACTAACAAAAGGGAAGCAAGCATATGGAATACATTCCCCACACTGGTCATGGAAGCAAGGAGCTTTAAAGGGTGCAGAGGAAACTAGATGCATTTCTAAACAAGGAAACTTGGAAAAATATGGGGTGGCCGACCACTGGGTAACATTGAAAGGGCTTGACCTGCACTGCCCCAGTCCTTGCACTCAGCCATGAAACTACTCCAGGTTAGGAAGGTTTCTGCTTTTAGAATTCAGTAAATATGCAGAAACAAATTTTGGAAATGAAGATTCTGCAGCTGATCTCTCGAGCAGCTTGCGAGCTAAACAGAGGGTCAGCTCTCACCCATCAGCCCTGCTGAACACAACCAGTCTTCCACCTGCTAAGCACCTCCTGCTTCTGGCATTCTCTGGAAACCATGGTGCTGCTGGTGCAAATACAAGTGTGCTCACTTAGGTTTCCCAACTTTCATGCAGACAAGCACAGTGGCTGAACACGTTTATTGTTTGCTGCCTCTTGATTAACTTCCCATTCTTTGCATCCTCCACCTGAGAAGCTGCAAGAAATAAGAGATCTTTCTTTGAAGGGGAAGAAAAAAGTGATGGCTTCAAAGTGGCGTAAGTCAAGGCTCCCATTTTTTTGCAGTGATGAGTCCTGGCACAGTCACATGTGGAAGCAGCCACCCCTTTGCACTGGTTATTTTAATTTGGATTAATGAGTTTTCTGCAGTGTCATCTGAGAGTTTGCACACCGCAGACTACAGTATTTCAAATGGCCTCCATTAGGTACTCGTTTCCAGCAGGCACGTAAAGGAAATGTTGAAAGGATAATCAGGGCACAAGCAAGAGAGAGAAAAAAAAAGGCTAGCATTTAAATTAAAAATGAAAAGCACAGCAAAGAAAGACAACGCCATACAGGGTGCATTCGCTAGCTGACAGCCCTGGATAGCTTTAAGAATAATCATGAATGTTACACCTTTTTAAATGCATTGTTAGAATCACAGGTAGGTTGCAGGAGGCTCCAACTTCCCATTAGGTGCATGAGACGGCCAGCTGTGCTGTGCTCCAGCACACAGTTCATTTGCCTTTGTCCCATATAGATGCAATCTCTTAGTTGCTGTTCTGTGCTACGAGCTGGATGTGAGCTCAGAAATTCAGTGCAGTGTGAAATTGTTTCACCTTAAGCCTAACCCAGTGCCCCATGGTACTCTTTGCTGCAGCTTTCCCTCCCCTCCTCACACATTTCTGCTGTTTTCATTCAAAATCTTTATTTCATCCAGCGACAGAGGCCAAGGCTTCCCGATTTGCACACACACTTTGAAATACCTGGAAATCATTGTCAGCGTGCACCTCAGAGCAGAGCTGGGTAGCAAGGAGCTGCTCAAGTCCCGAGAGGTTTCCACCCGAAGCCTTGCTGCTGCTCAGCTGCCCGCTCTCGTGCTGGGGCCTGCGTGCGTCCTGCAAAAGAGCTTCAGAGAAAGGAAAAGGGTGTTTTGATAGCGACACAACTTTACACGTCTTACTGACTGCTCTACGCACAGCTTCACAACCTCGTGTCAGTCAAAACAAGAAAAAAACCCACATCTGTTGAAAGCACCATTGTTCAACTTTCAAATTACCAGTGGTGTAAAATAAGACTGCTTAAAGTAAGCATAATATTTGCTTATGCAGATGATGTTTTGTTATGCAAAGTACTATCTTCCCCCCTAAGGAGTCTCTAACAAGTATTTTAAAATCAAATGTGAATGGAAAGTAAGTTTTTAAAGCAGCAATCCTCATTTTTCACCAATCATATCAATTTTATGAGTTAACTTTGACTCGTTCAGTAACACCCTGTACCTCAAGAAAACAATGTACTTCAGTGGTCAATAGAAAAAAGAACTGTTAAGAAACAGTTACTCTATCAGTTTACTGACTTAAACTATTTTCACAGTATAGTTTTATAGATGGTTTTATTGCCCAGTTCATACAACAGCAACCCTTTGCTCTAGCCAGGGAGCACGTATAAGCATTAACAACTGTGACTTTATTAAGCTCCATCTGTTGGTCAGCATGTTCCTGGGCCTAAGGCAAGTGTGTCACCTAACGTTAAACCCTACATCGTGGATCCTCATATCCTGAAAGATAACCCCTTGGGTCTGTTCACAAGCCATGTGGATTTCAGAAAGCATTCCTCGCTATAAGGATAGCAATATCTAAAGCCATTTCTAACTGTCCATAGTTCTTGAGGTATCACGTTCACATTTGGCTGCAGTTGTCCACATGTTCAATATTCCCTATGAGATCTAGTCTTAGTAGTAAAACAGGCAACTATTTCAGATACACATTTAGCACACATTCTTCAAGAGACGATTATCTTCTTCATGGTAGAACATACCTAAACACGAGGTAACTAAAGAAACTAATGTATCAAAAATCACTAGTCAAAGAAATCCCCCAAACAAGGTCATTTTCGTGGCATGAAAGCGTTAAAACCAAGCGAAACTGAAGTGCCTTGCAGGGTGTCTCAGATAGAAGCACCATGATATCCAGCTGCTGGAGTTATGCTGCCACCTATTGCAAAGACGAATCAAGGAGATCCATTTCATTCTGCTAGCACACAGATATGCAGCAACTATCACTGCTCTCTCTCTCGCTAAAAAGACTTTCTTCCTAAATATCTGCTACTGCTAACTGCTGAAGAAAGGACGTGCTGTTAATTACCAGCCCTGATCAGGAAGTACAATTGCCCAGAGCTGTGTTTTTGTGTGTGTAGAATTCACACAACCGTATTTCAGGGGAGCAGCCGCAGGAGGCGCAGCTCAGTGCCCCTCTAGAAGCAGGCATGAGGAGACAAACAAATCACAACGGTGCTTCTCTACACTTCTCTACAACCAATCTGGCACTGGCCCAGCTCTCAGAACACATTTTTGGGCCTTTTGCTTTTCCATCTGCCTTGGCACCATGCACATGCCTTTCTTTTTTTCCCTGAGTGAAAGCTCCTACACCTCAGTCAAGATCTAGGCGTTAGGTCATCATTGTCACCCTAGTGTCTAAACTAGATCATCTCCTCACTCGTAAGCAAGCCACGTGCATCAACGCTCTCCCTTACACTCCCATTTTGCAGTTCTGCCCATGTCAAACTCACGGCTCACTTTGAATTCCAGTTTTGGGAACCAAGCAGTGCATTTGCATCTGCAGTATTACTGCATCAGGCAGTACAAACCAGCAGCAATGCAGCATTAGGAGTCGCTCCTGGGCAGCTGGCACAGCAGCTGGGGCCAACCAGCTGGTGGGATTGCCTCATGTGACTGCATGGCACTCAGCGCGTTCTCAGCCGCCCAGAAGAATCTCTCTTCAAAAGCAGACAGTTAAAACCAGATTGCCTAGATATGAGGCACAGCAACCAAAGAGGAGAGCTGTTAGAATTGTTAGGCCCCAGCAAAGCAAGCAGCAGAATAATGGGGCATTTTATAGTACTGGCCGTGCCAGAGGGTAAGCATTTTTAGATGTTTTAATTGATAGATGCAAGCAAGATCCATTACAGTTAGGATTGCTTGCAGCATAAACGGATGGTGTTATCCCTATTGCTATCTCTGATGGAACGATAAGCAGCAGATTTCGCTTTCAAAGTAATACGGTGACCCCAAATTCCTTGGACAGGCACACACACTTATGGGAGGGAATAAAGATCCTCGAAGAAACTGAGTGTTTGCATGATGCCTGCTTTAAACACCCACTATCATCATGCAAGTTGCCTGAGAAAAAAAGGTTGGGTTCATGGCAACTTTGAGCCCTCCCACGTTAGTTGGTTTCTTGTGAAATAGGGGAGTAAGCTGAGATAAAGATCATGACAGCCTGTGGTCCTCAGCTCCGTAGGTAACCTGCTGCTAAGCACTAGGAATTGAGAGCTACAAAGCAGAGAGAAAGTGAGAGCAATTGCTACCCTCCTGTCTTTCAGAACTACCAGAAAACATTCTGGTATTAAATTCTGACCACTCAGCTGTAATCCACACATCCCTAAGTCACTTCTCTAGCCCCAGTATTTCCCCATGCCCTTCCATCTGTTTTAGCAGCTGGAAGTTTCCAGTTCATGCACACGTTATACTGAGGAGCACAACGGATTCAAAACTTACCAAATGAAAAAAAAAAAAGTATGTTTAAATTGCATCTCACCTCTACTCCAAGAGCCATCAAAATCAAACACAGACATAAGTGATCTAGAAAAGCTTTGCTCAGCGTCCCGGACCCATCACAGAAGGCCATCCTCCATCTCCTAAGAGATCCATCTACCTTGGGGCTCAGAGCAGGGCACAGCACCCTGACTGCAGTCACAGGCCTGCTCCGACCTTCAGTCAGACACAGTCAGCTTCATCTCAGAAGTGACAGATTCCAACCAAAATGGTAGCTTGCCAGAAACACTGAACAACCCCATCCCTCTACTGGAGGCAGCCTAGGGCTTTCATTTTGTTGTTCTCAGTGATAAAGGACAGTACTTGCACGCAGGTACTTTTTTTCTTTTTTTATTGCTGTTAAGTCAAGGAAAAAGGTTGCATAAAATCCAATCTCTTCTAGAAATATAAGTGACCTTTCCAGTACATTTCAAATATCAAAGTATATGGTAAACATACAAATAAAGAGAAGGTAACATACCTCCTATTTACAGTACAGTATTTTAAATCATAAAATAAGTTCCATAAAGTACAACTGGCAGGTAATTCACAATACAAGTCCATTGGTGGTTTAACACCCTCACTTCAACTCAAACGCAGTTCATTCGTTTCAAGTGGTCCAAAAATACCCAGATCAAATAAAAATTTTAATCAAAATAATTTTCATTTACTACTTAAACTTTTTTTTTTTTTTTTTTTTTTTTTTTTTAAATTAAAGCTTTCATCTACCTCCCTCCCAGCCCCCCCTCCGAGAAAAAAGTTCCAAAATGTACACTGGTGCTATAAATATAAATGCTACCTATGAAGAAATGTAATCATCAAGCTTTTTTCTTCAAGTTTCTTGTTTGTTTAGCAATTTATGAGACGGCTGAACCAAAGATTGATTTTTATCTCGTCCCTCTACTGGACATCAACTCTTAGATTAAGAAAAAAGGTTTCTGCCATGAACTGTGAGGAATGCCAAACCCTATGGATATACAGTGGTAGTTGTTCATCGGTGTTGAATGCAGCAGTCAAAAAATACACTCATCTTCCAGATAACCTCAGTGCACTTCAGGAAATCAAATATTACCTGGAAGCAATTTAGTACATATATTGGCTTTTAAAAATAAAATAAAAAATACAGCAGCATTAAACTTACTTACTCATGATACTGACATGATTAATACCATCTTAACACTCATTTCAGTCTTTCACATTATACCGTAATTACGCATAGTGGTAGATTGTTATAAAATAGTGACTTTGCTATTTGGTAGACAGGTCCTAATGCTAATACCTGACTATTTTGTAAAAACCATAGCTTTTGTTCAGTCTGAAAGAAAACATTTACATTCTAAGTACAATGCAACACTGTCTAATAGTTTAGGATAAACTAATAGTTTAGGAAAAAAAATATTCGATCAAGTAATGTTCGTTCTGTGTTGACACGATGTAGAATAGCTTTAGAAAAGGAAAAAATTGCCGTCAGCTTTCATTACAAATGCAAACACACTGAGTACAACATTCATACCAGCTTTTCACCTTTTTTTGCCGAACATACAGGCTAAAAAGCTACAAAGGGAGAAAAACCTGTTAATTTAAGCTTGTTTACCTTTAAAAATCTGTTCAAGTCCACACAGCTTCAGTCACTTCCTGCTCTACGTATTGTGATTTATCTGGGACTCTCAAGAGCTGCGTATATGTACTACTGCCAGCTACAGCACACGTCCAGAATGGCGTGTTCCTTTGGGCCCTCCTAACAGCACGTCTGAGCATCTCCCCTCAATTCACGAGCGTTAATTTGGAGTACGGGCAGGGTCTGTACGAACTGCGCTAAACACTCATGCAAGCCCAACAAATCCACGTGGACAAACAGGGAAAAGAAAACGAAACAGCAGCATAAAGAGAACAGGGAAGGGGAGGAAGAAGATTGTGGTGGGGAACATGACCAACTTTCTTCTTTCACCATATGGCTGCTCCATCAGTGATGTCAGAGGTCAGAGACTTTTTTTTTAGATGCAGTAAACATTGCACATGTCTCAAGTCTTCAGTGCAAAAGCATGGTTCGAATGCTCTTTCTGATTGTTTGGCTGTGTGTCTGAATTACATGCACTACGCAAGCCTTTTGTAGAACCAGGAGGAGACCAGGGACTCAGCTTTCTTCTCGTGTACGGAAGAGGTGCGACAAGCAATGAAAAATTCCAAAAGAATATAAAACTGGGAATGTCCCAAAACACAAGACCACCCCCCACCTCCCACACACACCTTCCCCCAATTCCCCAAGCTTCAGTTTAAGTAGGCAATGTTTACTTGTTTCAGTCTGCAGAATCCAAGGTATCATTGGAAGGGGGAGGGGGAGGTGCGTATCTCAGTCTGTAAGTGCCTAAAACAGGAAAGAGAACTACTAAGTCACTGCTTACAATTAAAATGGATTACAAAACCACTACAAGGTATCAAAATGGACATGCTCTTCAAAAGGCACTATCATCCTCCAGTCCATTTAAAGTAGGTCCTAAGATCTTACACTATTTCCTTTCAACCGCTCACTAAAAGCATCGGTTTAAAAAAATAGATAGACAGCAGATACCAGATTTTTACCTCTGTTGGAAAAATACAAAGAGAAGGAGACCCCATCATGGCTATTCTTTCCTGTTCCTGTCTGACCAGACAAGTCAAGTCAGAATGGACACAGGCCAAGAATCAGAAATAGTTTACATTCCATCTGAACGCTGAGTTTCCTGGGTTTTTTGTTTGTTTGTTTTTGCATGGAGGAAGAAACGGCACGCAGGACTGCAGCCATTCCTTCGGCTTCTAATTCCAATTGGTTTCTGCCTTTTTGCTGTAACTTGCCTGAGAAGTTCAAGCATATTTCATTTGTGTATTTCATGATGGGGCATAGAGGATGGCTGGTTGTGCAAAGGTAAGCTTCAGAAAAGTTAAATTATTTAATGGCCAGTTCATTTTTTTTGAATTCTTCTATATTTTCTCTGCTTTTTGCCAATGATTTCTCTCTAGAAAACACTGACGAGAAATGGAAAAATTGAAACGACATGCAAACCTCAAACGTAATACCAAAAACAAATGAGCGAAAAGAACGACAATTTAGAACAGATAGAGTTGGAGTTCCCAGCTCTGAATCATGCTCATTTTCTGCTTCGCGCTGTGAATCCTTTTGCCTTGCGCTGTTCTACAGAAATTTCAAGCAGAGATAAGATACTTTGAAGCTTTAGAGCAGGTCACTAATGCACAACCATTTACACAAAACATACACACGCACGCACACCTTTCTGCAAGACCAGAAACAGCACATTCAGTTAGGTAAAGAGGAACTGCTAAACTCAAAAGCAAGTCCGCTGGGAGTTATCATGATTACCTTGTTGACTGGCCTCCATGGATGACTGCTTACAGTCCTGCGCATAGTGTCCACTTACACCACAATTGTAACATGAAACGTTCCCATTCTTCTTGGGTCCTGACCCATTTGTGTTGGCAACTACGTTAGGTGCTGGATATACGGGATAGAACCTCCCAAATCCTGCCATCTGCTGCATACCATAGTTGGCTTGGCTCCCCATTACTGGGTCATGCATAAGCCCGTTTGCATACGGAGACTGAGGCAGGAAGAAAGGAAGTTGCGTTCCATTGCTTTGATGTGCTTGATTGAGGTAGCTGCCATTGCAAAGTGATGGCAGAGTGAAGAAAGATGGAACTCTGTAGACTTGTCCATGAAGTGGGTTATGATAAAAATAGCTATTAATCTGAAGGCTTCCATTGGTCCCACAGCTACACCTGCGTCCACAAGAACCACAAGGACCAGATCCCAGCTGCTGTGGAGGTAACATTGTCCCGTTAGTGTTGTTATTTCCAACAGCGTTTATGTAGGATGTGCTGTCGCTCTGTGCAGTGCTGTGTGTTAAAGCGGGGCTCGGGCTAGGGGCAGGGCCTGGCGTGTGCGTAGGAATTGCAGGAGGAACGGACGACTGGATCTGACCAACACCTAAACCAGCTGACTGAGGTGGTGAGGAGGCTGCTACAGTGTTCAGCACGTTTGTGTTCTGGTTGGGCAACACGCTGGTAGCATGAGGACTGCCTGGCAAAGCGTACGAAGCTGGTGGAGGTGGCGGTGCTGCTGTGGAGAGACCAGCTGCTGGAAGAACTACCTTCAGATTGGTAGGCTGAGGGATTGCTCCTGGGTTTCCCTCAATGTGAGGCACCATTTGATTCAGTCCTACCACCTGGGATGCGGGTTTTGTGATGGGATCTGTAGTAGGAACTGGGGATCCTGGGAAACTACCTGGATTGTGGACTGGGATAAAGGCAGTATTTGGTGATCCAATGCTTAAGTTTCCTGTTGGCTGCTGTGGTCCATTAACCGTGCAACTTTCCGACGATCCCTGTGGAGAGGGCATTTTCAATCTGTGTATTGCCAAATGCAAAGCAGGGCTACCAGGCTGGACAGAATGCGGGAGAAAAGTGGATGGGACTGGCAAAGGGGAAGCCATCAGCTCGAGGCGTTTCTCAGGCTCGCCAGAAGTCACTGGGCCCATTCCACCAGGAGGTGAATTTGCGGACTCTCTCACCGGTGAGACAGCAACAGGCGTGGTAACGAGCATTCCCATCGTCTTCCCATCTGCGGATATGGGGGGCGGGACGACCGCTTCAGGCTTTTGGGCAGTGCTGTGCATCACACAGTGTAAGGCAGGCATGAAGGAGATGTGTTGAAACTTGGCATTCAAAGGATCTTCCGAAAGGCTTCCGTTTTCGTTAGTCGCTGAAGAGATCTGAGCAGACGATTTGTTCATGTTTGAGGAGCTGACAGCACTGTAGCCTGTGAACCTGGCTGCATTTTGATTTCCAGAGTCCTCAGAATTGCTGTCCGTGTCTGTGGAGAAAGCAGCGTTTGTCAGTCAGAAGAATGAATCTGAAACTATAGTAAGTCTCACCCTGGACTAACTTACCCATGTAAAACTTATTGAATTTGAGGACATAAAAGATAATCGTGTCTTTCTGAATTAGACTAACTTTGAGATTGCTTTCAGTCATCCAGACCAAGCTAGGTCAATCTCTATCATTCATCTAAATCAAAATGCCTGGCTAGCGCCCTGGTTTCAGCTAGCTGTGTCTTTGACTTGGGTATATCTGCAAATGTGCACAGCAGCAAACAGGCCAAATTAGGAATTTGTATCTACCTAGAAAGATGTTGATAAAGCTTGCTCAAACTTGGAAGGAGTGATAAATTAAACAGTCAATACAAAGAGAAAGACCTCTCAGACACGCTGGCGTAGTTTTAGAACTTTATATGTAACGTTCTTTGCTGTACTGCTGCAATTTCTCAAGACACTGCCAAAGTCAGAAAAATGGGATATCATGTACAACATAGCTCTACATAGTGATCTAAAACTCAAACAGCTTCTGCTACTTGCTAGAAGCCCTCAATCCATACAGTCACAAAACTTATTAAGTAAAACATCATCTAATAAAATGAGAAACTAATTAAAATTAATACAAGAAAGAGATTAATCAAGGACTATACAAGGTTCATGCACACTCTCCAAAAATCCAACCTCTGTCTTTTTCTTCTTCACTGTCAAAGCTTTCCCTCCCATCATGTCGTGGACTAGAAGGAGAACTGTAACTTTCAGATGATGTTTCTCCACACGTATCGTGACCAGATCCAGTGTCCAAATTCAGATCTAAAAACAAAAATAAGTATTTTTGTGTAAAATTGCACCTTCTGGATTTCAAAAGGAATCATGGGAAACTCATTTGCTGGAAACTGCATTTCAGAGCGGGTTTAGAAACTATTATCAAAGTCCAGTACATAAGCCAGAACGCTTTGGCTTTTGAGTTCTGCCTCAGAGGTGAAGCAGCAAGACACAGCAAGAGGTGAAGCATGCTCTCACAGTCTGCAGGCCAGATGCTAGTGTCAAGCAAATCCCACTGCCCAAAAAACTCAGCTAAAAAAACTTCAGGACAAAAAAAGAACACTAGGATTTATTTGTATTATTAGTAATAGCAAGAAAATAAATTGTTAATTTATTATTACAGTTGCAAATGTAACAGCTTAGGTTAAACTACTACAAAGTTGCCGTAAAGTTTTCATTTTTGATTCTTGCAACCATTTTCCTGGATTAAACCTACACTTGTTACGTTAACAAGGGTATTGAATTTCTAATATAATGTGGAACAGTCATGCCAACCTCCTATCACCAAAAAGAAAAAGCTTAAAGTCCCAGTCACAAAGTCTTCAAAGTTGTAAGTAACTAAGAAATGACTGACAAGCTAAAAACAGAAAGCGAAAATGGAAGAAAAAAAGAGTTAAGAGCTATTGACTCAAAATAGGACATTTCAAACAATGTCTCCAGATATAAAGCCAGGCAGAGATTCAGACTGCAAGGTTATTTCCTCCCCCTGCTCCCCGCTTCCCCCCGACCACCTCTCCATAGGTTGTATCAGATGACACTTTGATGTTTGCATACAAAGACAGGTAGAAAGCTAATTCCTGAGGACTGAATTGCTTCCAGTAATTGTGGGTTGCAGTTTCCTCTTGCAGTGGCCTTAAGTAGCCATTCCTATCAAGCAGGCAGTTTCACATCTGTAGGTCAGTGTGTTGCAGGTGGACTGAACTCTTAAGGCAAAACACTCCTTTTTAGCTGCCCAGTGTATCCCACAAAATTACACAGCCTCTGAAATGTATCAGGTCGTAAACACTCAGTGTGCTTTACATGACAAGAACAGCAACCAATCAGACATGCACACAGAGAGCTGTCCTGTACATTTAATTTTCTACTTGTAGATTTCTTACCTACTTTCTCAAATTATGTTGTTTTTACTAACCTTGTTAACAGTGAATTCTTAGTTTCAGTCAGATTTTAACACTGTTTTTAGATGACAAAAACTGCTCATAAAGCACACGACAGTAATTCAGTGTGCAATCTACCTGCAACTCTCAAGTTGAGAAGTGGTGATAAAGTATGAAAACTTGTTAAAGACTGCACCCCAAGCAGAAACAAGAGCCAGACAAGGCACTTCGTAAGATGCCTTCAACACATCAGCTTATTAGATGGTATACAAAAGGCACAGTCTTTATCAATTTTCTGTTGTGACTATTGAGTATAAGAGAGATGAGGTTGCACAAACATCAGGCCAGCAAAGTTGATGGGTAACGCAGCCTTTTGATAATTGGTAATAAAGCTTGGATGCTCAATTGAACAAGACAAGATGACATTTGTGTTGTTCATCCCTCACTGACATACAGAAGTCCTGTTCTAGACTCTGGCTTTTGCTGGATTACCTAAACTCGAAAACCCTGTTTGGGCAGCACGCACAGCTCTGTGTGGTAGCTCAGTAGTCGCCTGCTTTACACACTATAGTTCAACAAAATTTCACACAAGACAGTTTTTGCAAAGCTCCTCACGGGCCAACTCCTCAAAAGAAAGAACCACTGAGCTGCAAAGAGATCACTGATGACATGGCACTGGGCCTCCACTCGCTCAGACTGCTCAGTTTCATACAGAAGTAGCCCAACACAAATGAACGAGCAAAGCTGAATTGTTCAATCAGCTCAGGAGGGAGCACCTTACCTTTTGCTGTCCCTGCACGGATGTGCTGTGATGCTGCAACTCTAACTCCATTTGTCCTGTTATTCAGCCGGCACTCAGCCTTCTTTGCTTTCTCCCTACGTAAATAATTCTCATGTTTGTTTATTTCCAAATGCATTGCACAAATAAACAACTATGTAGGAAAATCAAATGTAAACAAAGGCAGTAATTCCAGGCTACAAACATATTTAATAGGGATAACGAGAAACGCAGATAATAAACAGGTAAAGGTTACTAGTGATACACCAGGCACTGTAATGCCAGCAGTGTTACTAAGCACTTTGAATGAAGATCTGAAAGAAAACACACTCAAAAAAAACAAAAAAAAAGGGGGGGGGGGGGGGGGGAAAGAAGAAGGGTGCAGCTGATTTTAAACTCTTCCCTGAAGGATGACAAAAGTAATGGAGCAATACTCTAGACTAGCATAAAAGCATCTGGTTACAGAATATCAGAATGACAACAAGTCCAATTGGCATCAGGCAGAGTATTAAATAAGACAAACTTTTTCATGATGCAGGATTGTTCAAGAAATTCCAAAGCCCTCTAATGCACAAATTATCTTCAATAAAATATTTCACCACATTACCACCCACTGAGTAATGTTAAAGGCTGCTGGCAAACCTTCCTCGATTTTCAGTGTTTTCTGCACAGCTTTACACTTTCAAACTTAATAATAAATACCAGGGAGAAAAAGAGGCAATTCTGTATCAGTTAAGAACCTACTTCTTTGTCTGTTCACTAAATGACAAGTGGTATTTTAGGAAATGAATGCATAGAATTACATTCTATTTTTTATGCTACTTCTTTTCAAAACACACAAGAAGGAATTCTATACAGACCAGCCTCGCGACATGCCAGCTATTCTTTCACCAACTAAAAAACAAAGCATCTAATTGACTATCCACTCTGTTTATCAGAGTGAATGCATTACACTTTGTTCCTCAATTACTGGTTACGTTGGAAACCTACTTTTCCAGCTGTGGCTTTCCCTTCTTCTTGCTTACTGCAGATAAGCTCCGTTTTTCCCCTGTATGCTAGACAGGAAACACAAGGATGTCAGTCAAAAGACAGAACTTCTTCCACAAAAAACCTAACAAAAAATACTTGCTAGACTTAAAGGTCTGTGAGTCACAATGTGTGTGCTCACAGGCACTGCAGTCACACAAACAACTATTTGCATAGTGCAATCAGGCCGTCAGAATTATGTAAATTATCTTCATTTACACTATGATCAGCAGGGACTCAGCAAATCACCACTTCCAGTTTTTCAGAAGATATCAATGAAACTACTGCTGTGAGTAAGCTCCAGGTCTTTCCTTTTGAGGATAAAAACCAACACTTTTAATCAAATATCCCTTAACAACTTCTTCCATGAAAAGAAGTTGTCTCATCAGAGTTGATAAGGTTTAAACAGATAGAGAACCTTTTGATTCAACTGGAATTATCTAACTGGGAGGAGAGGGAACCCATGTGGCAAATTATTTTTAAATAGCAGCAAGTTATTTTTAGATCTTGTCAAAACCAGTGCTCAGCCTTGATTGCTGCTAAACTAAACTCTGCAAAATATCACCTACAAACATACTAGAAAAATTACAACATCTGCATTTTTCTGCAAGTATACTATTAGTAGCTGCTGGTAATATCTCCTATTTGGTACAGGAATACAAATTACGACCACAAAATGTCTATCTATGCTGTATGTGCAATTCTTCAAAATGGGAAGTAGCTTTTCCTGGTACAGTATATCACATTTTCCTTGCCTCAAACGTGCAAATGTCAAGTTTTCATGGTGTCTACCATTTCACCTGTGAAAGCAAATCTTAGTTCATCAACGTAGTTTGTGACACAAGGTTTTGGTTGGTTTGGTTTTGGTTGCAGCTCCCCACACAATATTTAATAGCCAAGGTCTGCACATAGAATAAAAGCAATATTAAGTAATTACTAAGGAATTCTAACATTAAAGGTTTTCCAGATGTAACGCTGAGCAATATTCCGTTCCTCAATTTCAGTATTACCATCTTACTTATAAGCAATTATTCTTCTCCACTATACTTGGATGCATATAGTTTAGTTAACATAGCTTCAAGTTTGTTGCTTGCAATAACACAAACTCCTTAGAACTTCTGAAATTCTCTCTGACGACAACCAGATAACAAGAGGATGTCTAATCAGAAATGAACATCAGACTTTTCTGATCACATACATCCCATTGTGCTACTTTAGCTATAAGCCCAAGTAAAAGCTGTTTATTTAACAAGACAGTGGTAAGTAAGAATTACGAGGCATTTTCTAACCACAGTAAGTCACAAGCAACTTTCCTATCTTCTGCATCTTTGAAAACTACATGCAACCTTATGCAGCAAACAGCCTCCTCAATTCCGAGTCACCTCCTCACTTTGCAAACACTGCTTCAGACAAAAAAAACAACACACCTGGTCAAGTATGTTTGTACAGTGCTCTGGGTGCTGCTGGACAATACAGGTTTTCCTTCTCCAGTCCATTACCCCATTTTGCTCAGAGTGCTGTATGTTAAGGCTATCCAGTGAAGAACACTTTGCACTGCTAGTGCTGCTGAAATGAAAAAACAAGTTATGCCAAGATGAGCAAACACTCAAACTTTTTTTTAACCAATGTAGGCATTTTTGTAACATGTTGGGAATCAGAGGTATTTTGTTTTCAAAAATGCTAGAAATTCCAGAGATTTTAAAGATGTAAGTTACATCTTTATAGGAGTTGTTGTATAGGAGTTGTTGAGCACTTCAGTTACAGTAATGATCTGAACATACGTGGAATTCTTCTTTGACTTTAATTTGATGCAAAAATTCAGAACACCACAATCTAAAGAAAACAGCACTTGAGAGAACTGGCATGGACATCTCTGCACTTCTTTTTGCCTGCTTTTGTCATACATGATGTGGAGAAATTTTGCAGAGAAATGTATCCTGAATTTATTCTCCTTCTTCCGTATTATTAACAACAAAGCTGGAATTACTTTACAATCACTGTTTCAGAATTCGTAAGACATATAAGAGAAGAAGGGCTACTTACAGATCATGCTGCAGCTGTTTATTTGAGTTTCAAAATAATCCTCTTGTTTTGTATTTTTACCTTGAACATTGTTAGCTTTGAGTAGTGCTGGGAAATGGGAGTTGCATTTGGCATTTCCTTTGAGCCTTATTAGGCCTTTCACTGAAGTTCCCCTTAGAGCTGCCAGCCAATAGCAACTTTTAACCAGCTCCGAGAGCACTTCTCAATGAAGACTGCTGGAGGAACTGTTCAGGGTTCTCACAGCATCAGTAGGGCACAAGGACCTACAAACTTTTCATCTACTATTCAAAAATATGCCCTGCTACTCACTGGATTAAAAAAAAAAAAAAAAAGGAAAAATGAGTTAATGCTTTAAAACTGTTATCTAAATGCTCATGTTGGAAATGTAAAGCTCTTCTAATTCAGAGCTGTCGTCAAGGTACATCAAAATTACTGCGATGTGCAATGCCACTCAGTTCCCACAGTGGCACAAACCAAGATCACTCCAAAGCAGACGTCACATCGAAGTTGCAGCAGCTACTTACCACACGCTTCTGGAAAGAAGTGCTTTGCTACTTACAGATGTACAATAAAATATTTAAAAAAATAGCTTAGACAAAGAGTAAGAACCCAAGGAGGTCCCTAAATACAGATGCCATTCCATGACTGTAGAGACATGAGCAAGGTCACTTAAACTTCTGCCAAATGGAGGTAGGTGAAGCTGCTGCCAAATTTACATCATTACATATGAGCTGCAAGACTAGTGAGTTGCTTATTGTTCAATTTCATTCCCTTAAGTAAACTTCTGGATGCTTCTGAGAATAAGGCCGCCATGCTAATATCAAAAATAGACATACACAGTGTGGAAATTATCTCGAAGTGAACAGGGGAGAATTAGACCTTTAAGTAGTCCAGTAGTCAACACTTCTCACCAGCTATTATTTTCTGTTTAAGAGTATATTTCCTATCACAGAGGTTTGTGGAAATGTCTGTCTCACTCTATCAAAATTCTTCTAACCAAAGCCTCATCTGAAAGACAGATCCTGAACTACAGTCAGCTTCACTATATTTTACTACAAACAGAATAAGGAAAAAAAAATCTTTATTCTTACAGTTATAACTGCATGATAACAAGATTGAACTGAACACTTCACTACTTCATAACAGAATTTCTATCCAGCAGTATAATCAAAAATTTTCTAAAGGTCACATTCTCCTTTTGGGCACATGGAAGTTTAGAGTAACTAGGAGGATTAAATAAAAGCAAACCAGAACAGAAAAACACCTATGTTGTCACAGGTATCAAATAATAGAATCATTCAAGTTGGAAGGGACACTTAAAGGCCATCTAGTCCACCTCCACTGCAACAAGAAGGGACACCTACAGCAGGATCAGGCTGCTCAGAGCCACGTCCAGCCTGACCCTGAGTATCCCAAAAGATGGGGCTTTCATCATTTCTCTGAGCAACCTGTTCTGTTGCCTCACTGCCCATAGTGTCAAAAACTTTCTTACATCCAATCTAAATTTTTCCTCGTTTAGTTTGAAACCATTTCCCCTTGTTCTACCACAACAAACACTATTAAAATAGTCTGCTTCTTTCTTCTTCTCACCCAGCACTCTGTTGTGCTATTGTTATACAGTAATTATTTTAATCCCAGGTAAATTTTTCTCTCCTGAGGTAAATACATCTTACAGATAAAATAACAGTGAAACACAGGATAAGACTGTCAACCATAGCAAAAACTGTAACCATTTGTCTCTTAATACAGTTAAAACATTGCACAACCATGTGCAAACACCTCCAAAGTTTCTGGATGAGATACATTAAGAAGTGAATTCACATCAGATGTGCTTTCCAGTGCATGAAGCCTATGACTTAACGCAGTTAAGAAGCACTTCCATTTACAGTGGATGCAGAACAGTGAAGCACATACGTTTTAGCTGCTACACAAGGGAAAGGATGGACTGCCTTCTCATGGAAGGCCATAGAAAAACTACAGAAGACAAGAGGAGAACCAACAGGTACGGAAATTTTCATATAAAAATGCATGCGAGGATGCATGGGAGAAAAATGCATAAAATTAAAATTTATGTTACTCACTTCAAAAAAGAAAACAACAAATTCAGAAATTCATGAATTCTGAAAGTTTGGAAAAGAACAATGACCAAACGACCTACACTTGCAGATTTAGAAATAGTTTATTTTATATTTTGAGGAGACTTTGTAACAGAGAACTCTATGTTACATATACCTTTCTAATACAGATTACATTAACCAATAGCACCCAATCAAGCAAGCTTTAATTTAGGAGGAAATCCCTAAACAATGGAAGCTCAGAAACATAGTAGACACATCACATCCTAGTACCTACTTGGCAACAGGACTTTTTCCATTATGTTTCTTGTGGACTGCTGCGTGTTGCATTACATCTGGAAGAAAAAAAAAAGGCAAAACACATGATTCCAACAGCAATCCCTATTTCTTCTTCTAGATCAATCCAGCAGATTCATCTTTCCATCGCCACCAGAAATTTGGTGTAAGACATCTCTATTAAACACACTAGACTTAGTTTATAGTGCTCAGTTTGGCAGGTGTTACATAAAAGACAGATCAATTTGTACACAGTAGAATCTGCATTCTTTACCTTCAATTTCACAGAAGAATAAAACAGAAAAATAGGAGTTATAATTTTGCTCACCTCTGTTTTTTAGCATAAGGACTGCATGTGTAAATATCAGCCAGTATGAAGGGATGAAGATAAATTAATTCAGTCAGAAAAGTATAGAGTTCTATAATTTTTTCTGGACTGCCAGAATTAATCTCTAAACTTCGTGTTATTGACATATTCTCAAGAGCTAATAAAGATAAATCTTACACAGAAGTATTGCATTATTACCCTCATAAATTTCACTGTGCAAGTAAAGCTTTACAAATAACGAGAAACGGAGAGATCCTGCCTCAAACAAGAAACTTGGATACAAGGCCTGCCTATTTGTTGAAAACAATGGCTAAACTTTAACAAAGGCAACTTTTCTCAACTGCAACCAGCCTTCTTGGTAGCCATCATTTTGCCTGAACTCCTCCGTATACAACACAGAAGTAAAAATTATGATCTGAAAAAAATACTCTGGTTTTTAAACTCCTGACAGCACTTCACACAAACGGCCCCAAAGGAGCTCTGAACTGCGTTTATTCCTTCATCAATTGAACGGATTCCTTTTAAGTACAGTATATAAAAGCATTATTTGAGCTATTTCCAAATATACTATACATTTATTTAAGTGTATTCTGAACTCTAACAAAGAGCATAGTAATAATTTTTAAAATAAGAAAAACCTGTCTGACTGTGTATGTGGATTACTGACAGCACTCAAAGTCAACTGCAAGCTTAGTAATGTGCAAGAGGGTACGAGTGCTGTCGTCCTGTGAAATCCAGTGTATGTGCCTATGCTCACCTGTCAGCACCTATTTCCACCTACCAGAAGATCATACTTGTCTACTGCTCAAAACAGTGCAAAACTGGTCTGACATCCATTTCAGAATGAAATTGCTGACCAGCCACTAAGCTGCTAGTGGTTTTTGAGGTGTTTGGGAAACACCAGCTTCCAATATAACCAAAGTTCATTGCAGATCCAAGTGGTTGAAGTCCTTACTAACTGGCCAGAGTATAAATGCAGCACAGGCTAAAAATAAGAGGAAAACATCAACATCCTTTCGAGTGAAACTAGAAGCTAGACAAATTTGACACATTTATAGCAAAATAAATCGCTGCACTCAGTTTGTAACCCAAATAACCAAATAACAGGTAACAACAGGAGAAGCTACAAACACAGCTCATGTATATCGTAAAGTGTTTCTTTCTCATTTGATAGAGCTGCCAACTTCTGTCTCCACGCTGTCTACAAACAATCCCACTATTTGGATCATTAGCAACTCCCTAAGGAAACTGCTCCAAGTAGGCAAAGATTCTTCATTTACCCAGCACATTTAGTCCAAGCCTCTCAGCTCTGTACAAACGAAGGAATCAGTCAACTGCACAATTTACAGAACTGAGTGTGGTAAAATTGCTCAGAGAAAAACCACCTTTGAGTACACAACTACCTTCCTCCTGACTTGAAGCTTCTGAACTGTCCTCCTTGAAGTGTTCTGGTGCTTTAACCGTCTTCAAAGAGGGTTGTAAGTTACCTGCAGAGAATAAAGTTCACGTAGTAACTTTATAGATCTTGAACAACTAGAAAGTTCCTGAATGCTTGTACTGAACTGGAAGCTACAGAAACGGATGACTGAAGTTACTGGTTTGCACGTGGCAACAATTTTGACATCATCTGCTTCAAAGTGGAAGACCTCCAAGAAGAGATGCTTTTCCTCTAAAAAACAGCGTGCAGAACAATTTTAAAGCTATGGTGCAATTTTAAAAGCTTTGGGTTGTGATTATAGTTTTAAGAATACTGGCATTGCATTGCAGTTCAGATTTTTTATTAATAAGTAAATAAATAAAATGTCCTGTTACAGTTGTAAATGGCAGGAGCCTTACTGTAGTTACTGTAGTTTGAGGCAATGAGTCACACTCCCCCACTGTTAAATCATTCATGTGCCAAAGGAAACCTAATTCAAGGTAAAGTTTTCTAGTGCCCTTATCACGGTCTCAATTTATTATTTTTGCCTTTTTATGCCAGATGGGACGATGAAAAGAAATGGCAATAATATTTACAGTTTTGTTGCAAAAATACCACAACCACACTCTGAAAGAGAACTAAGCTCAGCAATGCATCTAACTCTAGAAGTCTGCTCTTCTCAAAAAGTTCCAAACCAGTGTAAGAAAAAAATATCTGCAAGCTGCTGTTCAGGAGCCTGAAAAGTTAGGAAGATCCTCCTGAGTACTGTCTGAACTGAACATACTAAGCCCAAGAGATCATATCCTAATGAAGTCTGCTGGGATTAAAAGTTTATGCCAGCCTAAGGAAGCGTCGAAAATAACTAATGTTATGAACGAGGGGGAGCTAATTGATTCCCTCCTTAATGGAACCATGACAGCATACATAATTACACTTACAGAATGTTTTATTCAGTGTGAGATTCCAACTATTATTTATGGTATACAGATCCTCCACTGAACAGAGAATTTATTCCACTTTTTTTTTTTTTTTTAATTTATAATCATTCCTACAACACTTGAGTACTTCAGCAAGTGAATATTTTTGCACTTCCATGAGAAGATATTTTATCCTTGCTACTAGCAATTGAAGACCAACTTAAGCCACAGCTGCTTTGTCTGCCAATTAATTCTCCACATTCAATTTGACAAGTGGAATGAGATTTTTCTTAAAAATATGCTTCCTCCATCTCCCCTGACAGTTACTGTATTCAAAATATGCTACTATGGCCTAAACTGCAATTGTCAGAACTTAGCAGGATTGCAGGATTCCCAAATACGTAAGCTTTGAAAACAGTGGCCAGCAATAAAGGAAATTCATGAGTTGCTTAACTGTGGCAATTCTGATCAAGTGGAAAATGAGTGCTTTTGTCTTAGTAGAGCAGCTATTATGCTGCACCACAGAAAACATGATAGTGAATTATCTCACACGAGTCACCCAGTCCCCCTTTTCAATTGAAAAAATCAAAGAATAATTATACATTTATCACACTATTTGTCTTCATTAAAGTTTTCCTTAATATCTAACTCAATACTGGGGCCCTGAATCACACCAATGGGCTTTACAATCTCTTCCCCTACCCTCCTGAGGACTTCACCTGCTCAGGAGCAGCCCTGACACAACGCACTTCTGTAATTTTGGGTGAGACTGCTGGGAGATCCCTCATCCAGGGCTTTCATCCCTTGGCTCATGAACTGCATTCAAGCTCAGGCCTGTGCCTGGGGAATGCTGCAGCCACGCCGTGCCTGGCCACGTGCCTCTCTGATGCTGTTCTTAACCCTGACCTACTGACTCTTATGCGTGACTCACTGCCATGGATGCTTCCAGTAATCACCAGAGTCTTGCCTACCCCTAATTCTAACCTGGGCAAATTGAGCCCACTTGAAGTCTTCTCCCCTTTCTGCTGAACAAGCTCCCCATCTCTTCTATCTGCCGTGCATTGCAGACGCGACAGATCCTCACAAACTTTCTGCAGAAACCTCTGCACCAACCACCAACACCCTGCAATAACGCAGTTAAGATGGAACTCAGCACTGAATCTTCCTCAGATTGTTTCAACAATTCACCAAGGCCATTGAAAACTACAATCACACACAACAGTACATTTATAACTTCCCACCCAGATGTGGCCTGCAGACTAAAATACGCACATCACGTGTGCCCATCATTAACGCAAATCTTCCCAGAGCTTGGAATTTTTCCTCCCTATGCAGATTCTCATTAACAAAGGGTTGCCAGAATTTTTCACAGCAGTGAATTCCAGCCAGTTTCGCAACCATCGTGGCCCTCATTTGCTTAACTTGTTTATGAAACTGACATATAAAAAGTCTTAAGTGTTACTAAAATCAGCAACAAAATCACAAACTGACATCTACAGCTTCTCCTGTAATCACAGAGCTCTATCTGATCATGGAAAGAATACATCTGATACATCACACAAATCGTATCAAATTTGTGTCAGCTGCCATCCCTCTATTTTCTTTCCAGCATTAACAAGCAGACTGTTTGAAAACTCTCAGTTACACAGTTCTGTATGAAGATCTGCAACTTCTGAGGCAACGGTCTCACACTCAATGCCTTAACTGTCACAGTTAAGTCAACATGCACTGAAAGAAGAAAAGACTCAAGAGAAACAAAGGCCCCATCTTAAGGCAGCCATACAGAGAAGCGAAGCTTGGGTTGCACAACCTTGAACACACAAGCGAGAGATCCACCAAGGAAGTACCTGTGGTACAAGTGCTCTGACAAATATTCCATACGCTCCCAAGTCAGGGCCATCTCATTACTTACATACTATGTAACCAAGCCAAATCTTAGTTTAAATACCAAAACAAACCCTTCATTTACAAAAGAAATGAAATAAATAACAGATTTGATTTTTTTGGTGTCAGTTCAGGACTTTTGTTCCAAAGTATACAACTGCTTCATTCATTTTCACAGGATTCACAAAGATTGTAGTAGCTTTAATGAAAAAACAACAACAAAACAAACATGAAGAGAAGTCTCCTTTTCCTTTGATGTCATGAAGTTTTAACTAAATTTTTTGAAGAGTCAAAAATACTTGGCTGCATTTCTCTTCAATTCCACTGGCCCTACTGCTGAAATGGAATCAGATCAGGGAAGCCTGGCACTTTTAAGATTCCTTTTAAGGATAAAGTCCCAAACAGATGGACATTATTAGCTATTCTGGCAGTATGGTGGTACGCTGGAGACAGAAAGTAAAGAACAGAAGCTGATGGTTCACAGCACATTCCCAATGTCTAATGTATCTCCTGAAAAATCTACTCACTGACAACAAGTTCAACTATACCCAGCAGAATACAACACAACATGAATAAGTAATTAAAAAAATATAGGCATGAAAGGAAGAATCGCTTTTAATAGACATTTCATTATATAAAAAAATATTGAAGTTTTCCTTACTGTGAGTGTGCAAAGATTCTGATGAAATTGATTGGAAGAAGTTGTATACTCTCTGATTCTGCAGAAAAGCTTGTGATGTATTTGAAAATAGCTGCCTGAAATTTAAGGGAGAGTTTGTTACAACGTAAGCAATGTTCCATTGGAAGAATAGAAAAATACTACAGTACCACTGCAGAGCGAATCTGACACTTCACAAAAAGGCTAAATTGAACTTGCAAACTTGCACACTGTGTGTACAGAAACCTAAGGGCTACTTTAGAGCTTTGGTGTTCAGCGCTAGTGTGATACTGGAGTCCAGCCAATGCAAGAGATTGGTATGATGGATGTTTTAAATTAAAAAGTGTGTGAATTTAAGCCATGCCAATTCAAACCTTCCTGCCAATATGCCATGGCGTGTCATAGCCATGTGACAGATGGCAGCAGAAGGGCAGTCTGACAGAATGGCATCTGACATGGAAGTGTGTATGCAGTATAGGTGTGTCACTGAATTCCTCCACATGGAAAAGAAGGCACCCACCGACTATCATCAGTGCTCACTGAACATTTATAGGGACCAGAGAGTAGATGTGAGCACAGTGAGGTGGTGGGTGGTGCATTTCAGCAGTGGTGACAGTGATGTGAAAGACAAGATACTTTCTAGACAGCTATGCAGATTTTTATGAGGATAGCATGAAGGCTCTTGTTCACAGCTGGCAAAAAGGCACAGTTAACAGTGGCAACTGTGTTGAAAAACAGTGTTTTGTAGCTGAAAATTAGTTCTAACAGCGTTATTGCACTCCTTATAGCTGTTGCAGTTTCTATGGAAATAAACAGGAGGCATCACTTTCGGAGCGACCTACGTGTCTATATTTTTGGCCAATCAGGTGCATAATTAAGACCCCCAAATACACATTTATGCTCAACTAAAATTGTAAGAAAGCAAAAACTTTACACAGTGATGCCACTGTTAAAAGATTATTCAGACTGTATTCCAGCATGGCCACAACTTAGTTTATAAACAGTAATGACAACTCCATACTACCACATAGTTGGATATGTTCACAGGGTATCCTCAAACAATCTGTGGGGTTTGCAATTATCCTACTGTTTTACAGCCTTTTTCTATTGTAGATAAATCCTTTCTATTTAAAATATAAATCCTATTCTATTTAAAAGCAGTTTGTTCATTTAAAAACTGAACGTTTATTAGTCAAAATTGAGCCAATAAATGACAAATAATAGAGAACAAAATAAAGAAAATTTGGAGGGACACAGCAGCTCTGTATCTCCTAAAGATAAGCTATTGAGACAAAATCCAACGATGTGAGAAGCTCACACCCAAATATCTGCAGTATTTAGAGCAGGAGCTTGAAAAGAAGTACTTGATTACTTCAACACGTATTCAAGAGGCAGTCTGCCTAACCTAATAAATCATTTAAGTTATTGTGAATAAGGTTGAATAACCCTAACAGAAAACAAACCTAACAAGATTTATAACAAATGCAAGAAGAACAAGGGAGGTACACTCAAATTTATATTGTTTTTCTGAGTTACAGGATTTGAACAACACGTCCCTCATCCCAGCAAGGACTATAGACAGCAGGTCTTGAGATACTGGCTTTTTTCTTATAAATGTGTGAATTGTATTTTATTTTATGCATATGCCTCATTACCACTGTTTATTCTTTTACAAATGCTGTTCTGTGTCATTCTGCCCTGACTTAAAATCAGAAACTCTGAGTTACTGTTCTTAATATTTCTAAATATATTTAGTAACATAATGGAGATAAGTTGCTCCTCCCTGAATCAGCAATCATTGCTACACAGTACAGCCCAGGACAAATATTTCTGTGACTGCATGATTACTCCTTTCAGAAGACCACGCCATTAAAGTCTGAGAACAGAGTCTCAATTTCAAGAATAAGAGACCAGACTATCAATTTCATTACTGCCTTTCCATTCTCTTCAAAAACGTCATTTACCCAACAGAATTTCCACTGTGCCTAGCAGTCACCTAGTTTGATCCCTCTTCAAATAATGCATTTCACATAGAATACTCACCTGATTATGGGCTCAAGATCAGCATGCCTTCGTTCTTCCCTCTTCTGAAAACCCTGATTTAGTGCTCTTAAAATGGTCTTGTCAAATGCTTCAGAAGACAGTTCCTTTGGAAGCTGAGAAGAAGGTTAAAAAGGTCAATTACTCATTTCACATATATCTTTGTTCGCCATCAGTCTTTGTAGCTTTTGTTATCAACAAAAAACTCTACTGTTCCAGTTTGAATAAGGTAATTTGAAGACTAAGTACAACAAATTATCATAATTTAATTTGCCAGAGAAACACTTTGCTCTAAATTCTCACATGAAATCCAGGCGTAGGAAGCTTTAAAGCATTCTTTGAGAGGAGATGAAGATTCAGAAATTTACTAATACTATGCTCTTTTTTGGAGTAATTTACAGCCTTTTTTGTTTTCTTTCTTTAATCTTTTCACAGAAAGAAAGCAGGTCTGAAAATAACAAGAACAAAACACCAGGGAGTACGGCATGCACTGTACTCACTACCACCATGAAATTATTTTGAAGAAAGAGAAGAAAAAAAATGTTGTAAGTTATATAACACAGCTGGCAATACTGGGATTACTCAATAGTAAGTCCTTCTCCAGTTGCTCTTAATACCCAAGTTGTTCATCAAAATTCATTACGACCATTTCCAACCACAAAGTGAGGCTTTCTGATCTTTTAGCTTATAGTGCAAAATTATTGCTATTAAAGAGCACGTCAATTTTAAATGAAAAATTCTCCCTAGAAATTAGAAAACAGAGAAATCCCTAAAAGATTTCTCACATTTATGACTTCCAAAACATGCACTAAAATATATGAAAGTTGGTGACGTTAATTTATTGAGAAAAATACTAATTTCTTTAAATGTTGGTGCTGTTAAAAGAAGACAGTCACAGCAGAAATGCTTTCCCTATACTTAGAACTATTGCTGATTTGGTTAACATCTGCCATAAGTTATGATCAACAGCTCTAAGCAATTTACACTACAGCAGTATCTCCCTTTTGTGTCTGGAATACACTCAACCCGGAGTGCCAGCTGCCTATTACACGGGCTAGCAGTGTAACAGCAAAGCTCTAAGCAATTCTTTGACTGAACTGCTACTAACATGCAGACACTGTGTCTAATGGAGATAATTGCTGGGTTAAACATGCCAAAGGAAATCCTGGAATCCAGACAGACGCGCTATTAGTATCAGTAGGATGATACAACACCTGAAGTGCACTACAAACCCAGAAGGAGACACTCCTGAACAAAAAGTAGTTTTCCTGACCACTTTGGCTTTAATAATGCTACTAAGTATCTCTGACTAAAGTATCTGCCAGCGTTAACTGAAAGGGAACAAAAAAAGTTCATGCTTTTTGTTAAAGAAGCATGCCCATGCAGAAGCATGGGGAAGAGCACACTTCCTCCTGTCCTCATGCTCTGTATTTAATTTTATCTTAAGAAACAGCTACAACTATTTTTGCTTTAAAACTTTCATTAGAAGGGATTCAGCTCATTCAGGCTTAGATAAACCCAAGTTTAGGTTCTTACTATCTTACCTCCAGGTAATGCTTTGTTACAACAAGCACATTTGTCCTTCCACACACAAGGGTAATATCCTGCACACAAATAACTTCCTATGCTTATTACCTAATGGAAATTGTTCTTTAAATACAAGGCACCAAAGTTACTGCATTTACTACATTAGCTTTTCCCACCAATTCTTCTAGCCTGAAATAACCCTATGCAGTTATCTTACTTTTACCTACCCACAAACATGGAATTTCCTATCAGGAAGTTTGATCATTCCTTTCTGTTTTAGGAAATACAGCGTACTACTTAAGGCCAACAGGCAGACTGGAGATTAGAATACCAGAAAGCCAGCAGGCAAATATGCATGACCTTCACAGCATTCACACCTCTACCGTGCTTTTAAAAGCAAGATACAATTTTTATCCTACTATTTTTAACAATTCCTTCTTTCTTCTACTGGCTATCAAACCACTTCAAACCAAAAGGATTTTTCAGCTGCACAATTTCTCCACAGAACCACCTTAGCAAGCTCCTGACAGCTTGTGGCTGTCTCCCTCCTGTTCTGCCACCTTCTATCTATCCAGACTCTCTCGTAGAGGGAGCAGTCAGCCAGCACATGGAAGTGCCAATCAGTCAGACGTGACAGCTCTGCAACTGTACATTTTGGATCCTGTTTGCCTCACTCCTCCTCCCTCTCCTGGAAGCAAGTAGGTACCAGAGAACCCATTTCAAAAGCTTGCGTGCATCTTTGCAGGTAGCAGGCATGCACTTTAACACTCACTCCAAGAACTGCAGGGGATCTCATACAACAGCCCTGCTTTTAAGGTTCACTTTGGGAATAGAGGTATTTTGTACAAGTAGTTGCTAGCTTTTCTCAAGTGTAACTCCTTGTGTCAGTGAATATACCTTTGTTCTGCCAAATGCAATGGTAAAATTAAAAACTGTTATGCTTATAACTCTGCCCAATTAATTAAAAAAAATTATACCACTGAAGTTATTCCAACAGGGACACAATTAAGCAAATCAGCAGTGTTTGCACCTATGCTTTAATTCTGTGGGAAATATCAAACATAGTAGTGCATAGTTTCAACTATAAAAGCAGCTTTCCAGGAGATTAATGTTCTTATTAATAAGAAATTATTAATATTTGTCAGCCCTTTTTCTTATTAATAATTTTATTAATTAACATCTTATCTTATTAACATTTATGAATATCTTAAGTGTGGGTATCAGAGAAACACGGCCAGCCTCTTTAGCAGTCTGTGGGGACAGGACAAGGGGAAACAGCCATAAGCTGGAGCACAGGAAGTTCTGCAGCAATGTGCAAAAGAAACTTCATCACAGTGAGGTGACAGAGCACTGGACCAGGCTGCCCAGGGAGGGAGTGGACTCTCCTTCTCCGGAGATGTTCAAGACCCACCTGGATGCCTACCTGTGCAGCCTGCTGTAGGGGGTTTGGACTCAATGATCTCTGGAGGTGCCCTCCAGCCCCTACAGTTCAGTGACAATTTACGTCATCTGAAACTCCCCACATATTTTATTCAGTATTTCCACAATACACATTATTAAAATGGTTAAGATAATTGTTAAAGAAGCTTTTGCTTCTGTGATCATATCCCAGAATTTAGAGCACTCCCAAACAATACCTGAAGTTAGAAATCTGATGTGTAAATGCTACTTTTCTATTTTAATACATACTTTTAGTAGGAATTCCTGAAGCTCCTGGTGTGTTTTTGTTACACACGTTACCGAAAGGTCGGACCACGTTACCTGAACAATGAAGGTGAAGAGAATGAGTAAAGTTTCTTTTTTCCAAAGATTACACATACCAATCAGGTGATTTTAATGCTTCCATAAGTCTGATGATCTCAGTAGAAGAGTTAACACTAACAGCTAGTAGAACAGTAGGCAAATCAAGGTTAACAGTGTACCTTTCAGACAGGTACACTACTTTTGAGCATGCATTTGAAGATCACTCTACTGTTATTTGTGGCTAAATGTATTATGAACAAATTCAGATAAATGCACTGAAGTTCCAGAAGATTACTTTCTGGCTCTGAAAGAAGCCAAGCAGAAGGCTGTGTCATTACAGGACTTGCATCAAACAGTTGTCTTTGACTTCAAAAAACAAAGCAGAGTTGGTTAGATATACTGGATTTAGTTCTTGCTGCCATCAGAAAATACAGATACATTTCTGCTTATCATACATATAAAGTAATTTTATCTGCACTGGGCTTGAATCGTATTCGGTCATAAAGAACTCATCTGGGTAGGGTACAATTCATAAAAATATTGCAAATTACTGAAGAAGTCACTCAAGAATAAGACAGCATTCTGATATATGCTTCTATCAGATTTTCAATATTTCATGGTTCTGACACAACGTGCAGGTATTAAAACAGCACCTGCACGTGCATATTTTGAGAGAAAAAGAAGCTTGGTTAGACGAATGCTGCCTGGTCTTAAGTCCATCTCTGGCCCTAAGATTCCCATCATACGCATGGGAGGATTCTGTGCAGTGAGAGTGGGCATGACAATTATAAGCATTAATTCACTCTGAAGAGCAGATAGGATGTTAACCACCAACTGCCTTCAACTTAGTCCTCAGAAACACCAGCTACTCTTGCAGATCTCATTTAGGAAGTCATGACTGTACCTGCCATTATAACCTTACAATACCAGTGTCTGAGCAAGCACAAAATAATCCGCAGTGAGGAACACAGCATATACATGCACAGATGAGGAGATGAAACTCTCTTCTAACAGGACTAAGGTGGAGGTGTTTCAAGCTTACTCAAATACTTCCCAGAATATCTCCAAACATTCCCCCTTCAACAAAGAAAATCAAAACCACTGTCAAATCCATCTACATGCTGAATTTTCCAAATAGTTTTGTCAATTTAAATATTGATGATCCATACGAGCATCCTGTACAAACCTCTGCTATCTATTATTGTATCTTAGTACCCAACTGAGAGATTATGGGGACAAAATTATCTACCACAAGGTAGATAGTATCAAGAAGTACTTGATAATCGTCAAGATTTTGAGGGCTAAATTCTAAATTCTCAGCAAAAGAAGGGTGATGATTCGTTCTTTTTTCAGTTGAATTTTAGCTTCAGACTCGTTCAACACATAAGCTGTTGACCTCCTCAAAGATCTTCCACGAGCACATCCAATGATAAGTTATATATATGTAACATTTGATCTACAGCATTCTTTTGTGTGCAGATCCTGTACCCTTCATGATTCACATCTACTGGCCATATGACTGATGATGTTAGTCAAGCTTTGCTAAGGAAATGCCCATTCTGACTGAATTAGAACATCACCACCAACAGCCTGAGCAGCTATTATTTAACCCTACAGCCTTTAGTATCAGATCTCAATATTGAGAGCCTGTTTTCCAAAGCAGTAAGAAGGAATGTTTCAGCTTTATGTAAAATTTAGTCACACAATTGTTTTATATCATACATGAAGATGATATTATCATACATGAAGACTATCCTGGGAAGACCCTTAAAATTTGTTAGCTTTTTTTTTTTTTTTCTTCAGAAAATGAAACCAAACCACAACAAACAGGTCTATCAGAAGCCATGCTTTCCTGGTAAACATTCATGAAAGACATCTGAGATGAACATATGACTCCAAGTAACACAAAGCTGCAGATACAAGAACTGCACTCTTATGTCACTTGACCAAATAATCAATTACCTTTAATTTGCTGTGCTTGCCCCAAATTAGAGAAAGCCAGGTTTCCTGAAGTAATGTCACACACCTGACTGCTGTTAGTGCTTTACACCTTCCTATATTATGCCCACGATTATACAAAGAAGCCTACTCTGCACACAGAACCAAGAGAATTGTAGGATGATCCCAAGAATTTCTGAACAGCCCAATGTAATTAAAAATGACCTTCTGAGCAGGTCTTTGAAACAAGCTGTATGCCTCTACAAGACACAGATATCATGAAGACATTGGTGTGCTGGAAGTTATTTGCTTACTTTGAATGTGTACTCCAGATGTTTGTCAGCCCTTTTTCTTGGTACTCCTTTCAGGGTTATCTTCTCAATGTGTACAGCTGAAAGAAAAAGAGTTTACTGTACATACTAAAATTACAGTTTAAAAACATATCTACTTATCTAGCTACTCTGAGTAGTGCCATACATCTACTGACTCAGAATAACTCCTTCCTTTTTCAGGTGCTATTTTACTGTAACAAACTGTAGGGGGCAGGTAGAACCTTGTCCTCTTCAGTGTATTTCTCTGACCTGACCACAGTTCTTTCATTGAAGATCATGGGAATTCCTGCATTAACCAAGACCTTACTTGGACCTGAAGTGATGTAAATACAACAACCACTGGAAGCGAAAAAGTCAATGAAAAGAAGTCAAGATTCATCTTTATTCTGAGAAGTAACAAGTGCTGAAAAAAATCCCAAAACAAATAATCTAGTGACAGTGTCTTCCACATCTGTTCCTGAAACATTAAGTAGTGGTGAGAGCAAACTGAGAGCCACATTTCTAAAAACCACTTAGGTGGAAGAAATGTCTTGGTGAAGGCCCCAGAGACAGAAATGAGTGTTAGCAAAGAGAGAACAAGGAGCAGAAGGTCACTGTAATCACATCAGAGTACCAGCAGATTGAACTGAAACAGAAGCAGAGCACTTTAAAGCATTTGCTACTTTAACACTCCTTCCCTGAAGTGTGCTGTGCTTAAGATATAGGCAAATTCTGGCTGTGACATAAACAGCAGCAACTGTATGTATTGCCTTCAGGATTTGGAAATGTTCTTGAGAGCACAGAACATTATTGTTGTAATACTGTACATAAAAATCCTTATAGAGCTGAGATAGGTGTATCAGCTTTCCTGCTACACCATTCTAAGAGTTCAGCAGAATTTTGTTTCTTCACAAGCACCATCACGACAAGTAAAAAAAAAAATCTTATTTAACAACAGCTCCACCAACTATACACCACAAAAGCTCCATCCCAGTGCTAACACTCTCCTTGCAATTCTAAAGTCCCACTAGACATATACTGGGAAACACTCAAAGCAGCTACAACTATCGATCTCCTACAAGTACTTGCTACAAAGCATATCCTAGGAATTTAATGAGTTACCATTTCACCCATTTGAAACAATCTTGAAGTATCACCCCTGTGTGAACACGCCCAAACTATGAGTACCAAGTGTATGCAATATCCTTAACAGAATAATAAGCAAGCACATATAACCCCAGTGGTGGTGTTACAACTCTCCATTCTTTTCTTGGGAAGAGTGACAAGTACCGAGTTGGAGCCGCGTGTATATTGGCTGTGGTCAATACTTTGCCTAGAAGTAAAATAACAGGACAACTGGTTTGTTTTTATCAATTAATGAAGATTAGTTACTGCAAAATCAAAGAAATACGGGATGAGCTGAGGTTGCTGTTAGGCTATGGCCTAACATTAGTTTTGGCTAACTGAATCTTTTTAACAGCCAGTGTTTAAATCAATATCAGCTGGGCTGATATTCAACAGTTAATTAAAAAGTTGATTCCCACGACTGGAACTAAGAATAATGTTTTAATTTCCATTATTTCCCTACATGCATATATTTAACATACATTAATTACAGAAACTAATCACCACCATTAACATTCCATACAGACATGCTTTTTTTCCAGTAAGATTGTGTTTATTTTGATCTATTGATGTTATCAATGCTAAATATATTTCTTCTCTACCATAAAGACATCTTGTTACACACTGTAGCACCCTTAACTTCAACTTCTTTTGCTGCAGTCAATGCTCAGTCTTAATAAATGATACAACAGGTAATTACTGTGTTGTTGCAGGACAACCTTAGCTTCACAGTTTCAATAGCCTACTTTAAAATCTTGTTTCCACAATCACATTTTAGCTATTCTAAATGGCTAAATGGTGTTAGACCAAGAAGAAATGTTTGAATACATGAGCCAATGAGGCATGTAGCATCTCTAAATGTATTCTAAATGTAGCAGATACAGTCAGGGTGATAAAGTCAAGCATGCGTGTCACTGCTTCCATTTTAAGTATTAAAATTTCAGAGAACCAGTATCATTAAAATTGAAAATAAAAATAATTTTTTAATGGTCTGTGCTGTTTTTAACCCGCTAAGGAGACTATATTAAGGACTCTATATCATAAATCTAACATATCACTATCACAAAATTATTCTGATCCCTCGCAGCAGTTTGTTAATATGGTAATATAATTACTGAGATGTATTTAAGCATTTAGATAGATTCAATTATTCAACTTTGCTCTGCTTCTGTTACTTAATTCAAGAATGCTGCTGCTGAGTTTCCCATTTCTGTTTCTAATTTGTGAATAGGAACATTCTGTATTTAGAACTCTACAGCAGGTTTTCAAATATGACTGTTGTCTGTAATCTCACATAATCTTTCTGGTTGGTTTTTTGTTATTGTTTTGTTTTTCCCAAGGAATTAAAAGTCTCAAAGCACAATTAAATCTCCGCAGTAGAGGCAAAAGGACATTTATCAGGATAAAATAGCAAGCTTTTCCCAGATTGCTAGCTCTTCACTAACTGGTGGATAATGTAAGCTTCCCTTGAGTAGACAAGTGAGCTGCTTGCTGAAGAATAAAGGCTAAGAATAAATCTGTTTCCAATACTCACTTCTTCAAAGTGTTCTAGCAATCACACTAATGTTCTGATTGTGCTCTGAAGCCTTATCCTTCCTCTTCCCAGCAGAACCAAAAGTGATTTACTTCATAAAGAAAGTTCTCCCACTTCTCCAAGCTACCACTCCTCTAAAACCTCTTCATGTGCCTTTTTCCTTTCTTTATTCCTTTGTGTTTTAAGACTGATCAGATACAACCGAATGATGCAGCAAAAGCCATTCACAGATTCAAAGTATGTTTAGTTTTGCTTCAAAAACTTTAATAATGCTAATACAGTGACATAAATTTTCTTGCCTTCTCCCAAATGCCACATCTCTTTCTTCAGGACAAAGCCTATTTGCAATCAGTTTTCATACATGCAGTCACTAGTATTTAGCAACTAACAAGGATGATAATATGTCATAATAAAGAAAAGACCAAGTAATGAGCAGAGAAGCTAACACACTTACCAACCACTCCAGATTTAGATGAGTACAAAGACAATGTAATACAAGAGCTGGTTAGTTACAAGCACCTCTGACTAACAGAGACTTCCACAACTTCAAGGTGAGTTTCAACTTCAAAAAAAAACCACCAAAGAACTCCCCAGAAGAAAGTGCAGGCTACATACCTTCTCGCTGAGGTCTATGGGAAGCCACTGGTAGTCCATCATGAGGTGCTGTGGTCCGTTCTAGCAAACTGGTCTCATTACCTGACGTGCAATCACTGCGGGAAAAGTCATCCTAAATTGAGAAGGAAAAAAAAAGGAAGTGCATTAATGGAACGTAAATAATACAAGCACTCTTAACAGCAGAAATCACACCATAATAATTATATTAGTGATACATATTAGTAATAGTTGTGCAGTTATAATAGTCTCCCAGAGTGGGAGGAAAACAAACTAGGGAGAAGAACTAACCTAGCAGAAAGATGTTAAGTAAAAATGGACTTTGTGTGCTTTTTTTCTCCTAGGGTAACACAGAATCATAGAGTGACCAAGGTTGGAAAAGACCTCCATGATCACCAACCCAACCATACATGTACCAGCAATGTTTCCCACTACACCCTTGGTACAACATCTCAATGTTTACTGAATGCCTCTAGGGACGGTGACTCCACCACCTCCCTGAGCAGCCCATTCCAGCACCTGACCACTCTTTCAGAGAATAAATTTTTCCTAACATCCCCTGGAGCACCTGATGCCATTCCTTTTAGTCCCATCACTAATATGAACCTATATAATTTTTCCCAAATTGAGAGAAAACGTTTATGTATCAATTTACTTATCCTTCAGTGACCAAATGTTAAAAACCAATCCAACTAGCCACCATAAAATTCAAAGCAGTGTAATGCCTCCAGTGACTTTAGAGGTAACAGGTTTTGCCAGTTGACCAATGTAAGTCTACATTTCAAAGAAGTGACGTAAAATAACACCTTAAAAAAAACATGGGCACAGAATTAAGAAATACTTGGAAGTTAGCAGTGAGTTTATGTTTTAAGTCAGGTATCTCATTTTACTTGTAACAAGTAAACTTATGAGCTTACTATATGCATACAAGTACCATCAATATGCAAATATGTTGACCTCTGGGCAAGTGGGATGGCATGCAGGGTAGCAGCAACACAAAGGAGGAAAGAAGGTTCTCTATTGAGCACAAATCAATGACATACTGCTCTTTTTTAGTAAGTACTGGCAGGTAGAACAGAAATTTGTTTTCTTGAAAAAGCTTTCAAAAGAAGCAAATTAGATGGAGAGTATTCACTGCACCACAAATACTTAGCTGTCTGAAATATTTAGGTCTGTGTGAAAACTAGAAGTAAAGCAATACCTTATTAGAATTTCTTAAAACATGTGGTTACTAAAGGAAATGGATACTTTCTGAAGTAGGTACATATTTAAAGTTCAAAGTCTTTTCCTCTCATTCAGGGTAGAGTGCTATTGCATTATGTCCTTCAGAAGACAGGGGCAGAAGACAAATCCTTGGCAGAATTTTTATCATTTTTAAATAAAGGAAGCATAAAGTTTTTACAAATAAGTGCCAGAACGTGAAAGAGTTGCTTTTGTTGTGTATCTGTTTTTCCTGAAGGACTCAAGATGGGACAAACCAGCTGAGAAGACTTGTTAAGCCTTGTCTGGTATTAAGGATCCAAGACTGTCACAAAAAAGCCACACTGAGGAAGCACAAGTGTCAAAACACAACAAAACAATCCGCAAATTTTTCAATGAACTTTGAAGATTTGACAGATGATCCAAGCACAGCTTGCTTCGTTTTGTTTAACCAGCCTTACATCAGCCATCTACTGCTTGGCTATAAACTGAGGTAACTCCTAACAATACTTAGAACTCCTTGAGCAATCAGGTAAATCCTGCCCAGCACATACCTATAACTCATTGTTCACTGGATAAGTCCATGGCAGTATAAAATTGGCATCAGCACGCCTTTAGATTGCACTGCAACCGTCAGAGGAACTGGAAAGCACTTCAGCTCTCTCACCCAAGACAGCATTTGGCTTATGTACTATACTGAGCATCAGTAGTTTCAGCTTTCAAAGCAATGTGACTTAAGATACACAGCTCTTGTTGTGTCAAGCTAAAACACCAACCCCTAGTCACTCTGTAGACAAGCTCAGCAAACTTCTTTACTGACCAAAGCATCCCTTCATGCTCCAAGTGTCTAACAGATCACAAACACAATGTCAGACCAGGAACAAGAATGGGAAGAAGCTGTGTGTCAGTGGGACTGCATTTTAGCAGCTCTAGCAAATTTGCAAGCTTCACAAGTATAGCCTGGTGAGAGCCACTCCAAGATCTCATGCAGACTCTCACTGACACTGTTTTGTCTGGTATTTCCTAACACCCAAACACATAACCAAAAGCAAGTGTTTGAGTTCTTAAGCGCTAACTAGCGGGCATGCAATATTCACAGAACTGTTAGCATTTGACCATTAAATTCACACTGTTAAAACGGATTTGCTTAAGACTGTCCTTACATATGACTAACTGGCTGTGACCAACTATATTAAATTAACAAGTTCAGTGCATGTTTTGGTATGAATCTTCCTGATATGAAATCAGAGAACTGAACCCTTTTTTTTTTTTTTTAAGAAAAAAAAAAAGAGACAACATTTATTGCCTGGTAGAAGTAAAGCCTTTGTTAAATGGCATCCATGTGTTCTGCCAAAAGCAGCTTTGATATCATCCACACTGCATGCAGAAGACAACAGAAATTTGCATTTATTCTGACAGCAGCTCTCCAACTATTAAATTTTTAAGAGCTGAAGGCAGAGCTGCACTCATTTTAAGGAGTCAGCTGAGAGTTATACCTGATCATCACTTTCTTTTACTAAAAAAAAAAAAAAAAAAAAAAAAAAAACACACAAAGATTTAAAACCAAATCAATTTGAAGTCAGATTTTATTTTGCTCTTTAAATCAGGACATTTGTTCTATTAATGGAAAAATAAACTGCAGTCTATTCTAAGAAATAACTAAAGTGAGGAAGTCAAAGAATTTGTCAGCAGTTTTTAAAAGAGTTTAGAAATAACATTTATTTCAAACATATATTTTGCTCAGATAGAAGCTTTACTGCTTCTATCAGAGAAGCAGTAAAGGTTGCTGCTGCACCTCTTCAAACTAGTAAACTGTCTCTCACCAGCAGTATACACCATCCTTGTAACAATGTTCAAATATTTTTGCAGAGAATTATTCTACCACGGTTACTTTTCTACCTACGGCAACATTCTTCCCATAAGATAAACTACACTCACATTCAAGGGCTCCCTCTAAACTACAAAATAATATGGGCTTCAAACCTGTATTTAAACAAGCCCTGGCATGGATATTTTTACACATAATTGTAAGCACAGAAAAAAAATAATTCACTTGAGAAACTCTTCACCTGTCAATTTAAACCAGTATTACATGCATGTATTCTGTGAGTGACAGCTTTCCTAAGACGTGATGGAATACAGGAGATATACAGAAATACAGTCAGATAAGAGGCAGCTTCAGCCAGCTCTGAAATGGAGCTGCTGCTGTTCCACGCGTAACGCTGCTCGCACATCTGTGATAACATATTTCAGCACGGATAAAAAATGCCACGCAGCAGCTGAGAGAAAGAGCAGCGAGTAAAGCACGAGGGAAGCAGCTCTGCAGGCCCACGGTCAGTGCAGGAGGAGCTCCAGGCGTGGAGCAGCTCTTTATCACTGCCAGGCTTTCTACATGTAAAGATGCTGTGGTTTGTAGCGCTGCTGATCATGATTAAAATACAGTGAAGCCAGAAGTGTAGGTGGCCACAAATGAGTTGCCAGATAATTCATCTGATAATCTCACAGATCTTTGTGACGTTAGCTACATTTCTCTTTGAAAGTGAAGCAAAACAGTGCTATAAAAATTGTCTGCTCTCACAATCTAGACCAGAGTGCTGCAGCTAGAACACCATTCCTGCTCGTATGGTTGAAACAAGTACTGTACTGAAGAGAAAGACCTGGTGCTTGAGATGCCTTTTAAGTCACAGGACACAAGCATCAGCTGCTGAAAAAGGTGAGTCATACTGCTCAAGAGGACACTGCTCTGTTAAACTAACATACGTGAGCTAGTCTACACACAACAGATGTCCACACTGCCTTCTATTAGCATACACTGCTGATGAAAAAAATGCCATGCTGGTATCGGTTTGGCAATATGTAATGAAATCTGTTACTGGATAACATACTAATCATTGTGATTGATGCACATAAGTCTTCTGATGTTTGCACTGCACTTTCATAAAAGATCTATTCATGCATCAGCTCTGGTGAACACTAACAAGGGAAACCTGCTTACAGCAGTTGGATAGCTTGATTAGTTCTACATGCCAAAAAACGAAAGCTTGTTTTTCTGCAAGACTTCAGTTGATGTGCTGCTAGGGGCAGCCTTGCAGGCTGTGCAGATGCAAACCAGCACAGCTTACTCGTTCATGTACAAGTGGGAAACTGGCAAACAAAGCCAGATGTTAATAAACAAACGTGAAAGAAAGCACCTTGGAAGGATCACCATTATTAAACACAACACCTGTACCTTAGATAAATGTGAATAACATCAGAGTAATCTCTATTAGATTCACAGAATCATAGAAGAGGAGAACATCCCGAGTTGGGAGATCTGGTGCCAGCTGTGGGACCAAAGCTATGATTCACTCAAAACAATCCTTACAAGCTGTTGTCCTTACTGCCATACTGCTATACAGCAGATGCAGAGCTATGTAGCCATGCTGGCACAAAGGCTCACTAAGACCCCTTACAAAGTAAACAGCTGAAACCTCACATTATGTACGTGCCTGCTGAACCCTCTCCTGATGACAAGAGCAGAAAGATGAAGCCTTGAGACTCAAGACCATATGCAACAGAAATTGCTTTCTATTACTTAGTTAGTGCTGTTGCCTGGATATAGAGAGAGAGCACATACATGCTGTCTTGTACTTAAACGGAAATTCAGCACATGCACCTAATACTCATGGATGCAAAAATAAAGCAGGGGTAGCAGCAGATCCAATTCTTGAAAACTTGTACAATGATGACAACTGTTGATGCAGCAGATTGTCACCCATGCAAAAAAATCCTCTTACTCTCTTGAACAAGCTGCAAGCCAGATGCAAGATAAAACCGAAGGCAACTGCTCAACTGGCATTGCTGCTGAGTTACACTCCAGTTTGCAAGCTTTTAACTTCACAGCTCCAACAAGCGTGCAACCTTAGCTAGTGGGAG